CAAGCCTTCCCCCTTCCTATGCCCCCTTCTCCCCTTGCTGTTGTGTTATTTAGTCATATCCAACTCTTCATGACACCATTTGGGGTTTTCTGGGCAGAGATACTGGAGTGGTTTGCCATTTCCTTCTCCAGCTCATTTTATAGATGAGGAAACTGAGACAAACAGGGTGAAGTGACTTGCCCAGCGTCACACAGCTAGTAAGTGTCTGAGGCCGGATTTGAACTCATGAAAATGAGTCTTCCTGACCTCAAGCCTGGTGCTCTGTGCACCACGGCGTCCCCTAGCTGCCTCCCTTTTGTTTATGCCTTACAAATATTTTTCCTCCAAGATTCCCTCCCATTTATACTCCTATCTATCTTGTATGTATAAAATCATTTGCTTGTTGTTCCCCTACTTTACAATGTCAGCTCTTTGAGGGCAAGGACTGTATTTTTCTTTCCTTGTATCCTCAGCACTTAGGTGCCTAATAAATGCTTATTGATTATCCATGAACTGTTGCTAAATGGCTTTGTATATAACTGGTATCTTAAGGCATTAGATGTCAGTCATTATGATCATTACTTCTTAGACTGGGGATCAGTGAAGCTGGGGCACATATAGTACATGGTAGGGGTTACAGGGGACTGGACTAAATGACCTCTCAGGTCCCCTCCCACTCTGTGCCGGGATTCTAAGAAAATCAAAGTGGATCAAACATTATCCCCTTGAAGGTGTCATGTGGAGCTCTCAACAGTAGATGGCGCTTTTGTATCGTAAATGAATTGTCGAATTTTGAAGGCGCTTCCTTCAAAATCTAGCTAAAGTAGATTCATTGATTAAACTGCCAGAGACAAGAAATTTAATTTTTCAGCATTAGGAGAACGGGAGGCGGAATGCTTTGTATCTGTTTATTTGGCTTGGACCTAGGATTTCACTGATGTGCAGAGATCAAGGCTGTGGAAACTTCCTTCCCCCGTCTAATAACTTCTAGCGTTTGAAGGCTGCTATGCTAGGAGGGCACTGAGAAATAAAATGATTTAGGGGCCGCTAGAGAACCCGAGTTCAAATCTGCCCTCAGACACCTACTAGCTGTGTGACCCTGGGCAAGTCACTTAACTCTGGTTGCCTCAAAAAAAAGGGGGGGGAAATAAAATTATTTACCCAGTATTACACGTGTCAGAGTAGTTTCCTGACCCTCTGTCCAGTCCTTCATGCTGCCTCTAGAATTATAATGACAAAGACTAATTTACGGTGACCAGAGAGTACAATGGGGTCTCAACAGCATATTGCTGACGTTTGCCGCCTCTTCATGAAGACGGACGCAAAATCCGTAATAATGTGGATGTGATTCTTCAGAAATTCAAATAAAACCAAGTGGTTTCCCCAGCAACACTTGAAACCTGGACAGTGTTTTCCTACATACCCATGAGTGACCACAGATCCCCACCTCCCACTTCGCTTTGTGGACAGCAGGAAGAGAGGAACAGAAGAGTCAAAGATGAGTTGGGGTAGTCTGCACCCATTGGGCTGGTTTGCACCCACTCCAAAATGGGAGAGTGAAATTAAAGGCACCAAGCCGTACCCACAAGGAGTGGACAGAGAACTAGTCTCAAAGTCAAGAACACCCAAGTTCATCTCCTGCTTCAGCCATAGCCTGGCTGTGTGACCCTGGGCAAGTCAACTGTCTCACTTGATGAGCTGCTGAGATGTCCATCTGAATTGAAAGAGAGCATTTTCCTATCTTTACCACTGAAATCATGGCTCCGGTTCCTATCCCTAAAGCCCAACTGAGCAGTTGGGGATCTGTGAAGTTCACGCTAATAGAGATATCATTGTATAAGCTAGAACGTGCCCATCTGTGTAGGGAATGTTCCTCAAAAAGTCCTGACTTTTGTTCTGCCACTGGACTTCGATGACTCTGGGAGAGAGAGTGAGGCTGACCACTTTGTGCCCATCTGCCTCACTTAAATCCAATTCACTTGAAAGTCAAGACATTGACCCATGATGCCACTTGTCTGCTTCAAAAACAAAGGATGAGGGGCTGCTAGATGGCGCAGTGGATACAGCACCAATACTGGAGTCAGGAGGACCTGAGTTCAAATCTGGCCTTTGGATACTTGACACTTACTAGCTGTGTGACCCTGGGCAAGTCACTTACCCCTGATTTCCTCACCTAAAAAAGAAAAAAGAAAAGAAAACAAAGAACGAACAACAAACAGAACATTTCTATTGTCAACTGGAATCTACATCAGTAGGAGAAAAAAGCCTGTAGTAATTTATAGATACTTTTTCCCCTTTACTTAAAACTCCAAAAAGGTTTAACCTCAAAGTAAGGAAAGAAATGAACAATATTCTAGGACACTAGAGGACGTGACCAAATAAAATACACAAAAGAATGGAGGGAGAGGGAATGTTAAAAATTCGATCCAGACAACTTTTAAAATGTTTCTTTTCTTCCACAGACAAAAGTTGCAAGTGTGGCTCAGGAGGAAGGGTTTTTTAAATATGGCGAGAGGTACTTGAATAAACCCCAGAGGTGGGAATGGAAGGCTTGGGTTCAAACCCTCCCTCTAACAATTACCCTAGACATGGTCTTGAGTCCTTCTCCTCTTAGGCTGTTTAAAAATGGAGACAATAACATTTACGATCCTTTCTTCACTGGGTTGTCCTGAGAAAAGTGCTTTATAGCCGCTGAAGAGGGTTACAAATCTGAGTTAGTATGATCATCCTGGGTAAGTCACTTATGTCTTGGTCTCAGTTTCTTCATCTGTAAAATGGAAATAATTAGAGCACCGATCTGTGTGGGTCAAAATAGGTAAAAATATTTTTCAAACCTTAAAGCGCTATACAAACGATAATTATCATTAGCGGATAGGGATTACCTTTGTGATTTAATAGGCACAGGGATCATCTGAGTGAAGGGACGCAGCTTGACACCTTTTCTGTAACTTATACTTTTGGAGAACATTGAGAGATGACTTGTCCAGGCTCACACAGCCAAGCTATGTCAGAGGCAGGACCTGAATCCAGGTCTTCCTGACTTTAAGAACATGCACACTACCTCTTAATTGTTGCTATTATTGTCCTCAAGGCGCTGAAGGGGCAGGAGAGGGCTGGATCTTTAGTGGGAATGTTTGTCTCTAGAGACTGAATGGAAAGGGAGAGGCAGCAAGGTGAGGACAGGAAGGTGGGCAGGAGTGATGAGGGAGGGAGGGAGGAGAAGAGGATAGAAGGATGGAGAGAAAAAGAGAGGGGAGGACTGCAGGGGAGATGAGGGAGGAGAGATGAAGGACGGGGAGATGAAGGAGGAGGGAGGGAGGGAGAGAAAGGAGAAGAGAAATAAGAGGGAGAGGACAAGGAAGAGGAAAGGTGGGTGGGGGAGGGATAGAGGAAGGAAGAAAAATTGAGGGGAAGGAATAAGAGAGGGGAGGAGGAATGAAGGAAGAGGGCAGAAGGAAGAAAGAGAGAGAAGGAAGGAGGGAGGGAAGGAGGGAGAGATGGATAAGGGAAGGGAGGTGAGAGGGAGGAGGACTGACAGGGGAGAGGAGGAAAAAGCGAGAGGGGAAATGAGGCAGGGAGAGGATGGAGAAGGGAAGAGGGAGGGAGAGGGGGAGGGGGGAGAGGAGGTGAATGGAGGGCAGAGGGAGGAGGGATGGGAGGAAAAGGAGGATAGGAGAGATAGAGGAGGGGGAGGATAGAGGAGGGATGGGAGGAGGAAGAGGGATGGAGAGAGGGGGGAGGGGATGGAGAAGGGAAGAGGGAGCAAGGATGGGGAGAGGGGAGAGG